AGGGTCTCGCTAAGTTGCCCAGGCTGGCCTTGAATTTCCATTCTGTCTGCCTCAGCCTCCCAACTAGCTGGACTTACAGGCATGTGCCACTGTGCCCAGCTCACAGACAGCCCCTTTGGAAACCACTATGTACCTACAGACATATTTGGAACCAGTTCCCAGTGGGGACTGTGATGAAGAAAACTCATTACAATCACCTGGAAGCCTTTCAAACTATCCCTCCTACCTAAATCAAAGGCTGTGGCTACTTCCCTCACTCCTGGGTAACTGGGAATCCCTGCTGTCCTAAGCCACAGGCAGGTGTTGGCATAACCTTTATGTATGTGTGGTGAGAAGGTGCCAAGGGAGGCTCCAACAGCACACATCGGCAGGGAGGCTACTGGAGAAGCCCACAGATAGGCTGAGGTTTGTGCCCATCGCTGAAAGGAGCAAGGCCTAGTGGTAAACCCTGTGTTATACAAAGCAGAAGATCAAATCAGGACACAGCGAGGGCTTGAGAAATGAGCTTCAATCACTGAATCAAGCAAAGCCAAAGCCAATGACAAAGTGCTCTGTTGCATTCCTGGTCCGTTTGGCCTACTATAACAAAAATGATCAGAACCAGTGGTTTAAACCATAGGCATTTATTTCTCAGCATTCTAGAGGCTGGGAAGTCCAGCCTCTAGATCAGGGTGTCAGCATGATCAGATTCTAGTGGCAGCCCTCTTCTTACTTTGCAGATGGTCATCTTCTCACCACCGTGATCTCAGGGCAGACAGCAGAAAGAGAAGAAGCAAGCTCTCTCTTGTCTGGTCTTATGAGGACTCTAATCCTATTGTGAAGAATCCACCTTCATGATATAATCAATCCCAAAGGCCTTGCCTGCTTGAATCTCACCTCACATTGAGAGTTAGGGTTTAAACAATGCATTCAGGCAGGGGGAGGGGGAACAAACATGCAGTACCTAATAGTCAAGTATTATACCAGACACTTTTTATTATTTACTGGAATCTATGCACTTTCCTCAACTTCCTAACTCCTTTGCAGTTAGTAAAAACCATGTGTGTTAGTTCTGACCAATGGGAAGTGAGCAGAAGTGATGCATGTCATTTACAGGCTCAAGCATTTAAGAGACAGGGCTCAACCCTCCAGCTCACTTTCCCTTTGCCAGGCAATCTCAAAGTGGTATTTTGCACATGGTGTACCTACAGAATGCAAGAGACTGAGTTTTTTTTTTTTTTTTTTTTTAACGAGTTCTGGCAAGTTTGATTAAAGAAAAATTTTCCATGATTTACATTTCACCAGTCTGTTCTGGCATGCTTCTAATGACATCAGAATGACCGGGATCAATGATAGACAAGGTGCAGACTCTAATAATTTTCCACTTGCTATGCCCGATTCAATATCTTTGCCACTCTAGTGATGGATGCTAGTTTGGGCCAACATGGTATAGTACTCTATTTCAGAAATCCTCAAATCTGGACAGTTGTTGGTGAGGAATGACCAACTGTGCTTTGTCCTGTCTGATCATCTTCAGAGTCTGCTTGTACCCAGCACAACAGAACAAGCTGGAAGCTAGAGATGATTTGAGTCCAGAAAATTTTCACCCTCTTTGTGGCCACCATCTTCCTGACTTAGGTGCAGGATCTCCTTCAATTAAGAGAAGCTGGTAAAGTGGCTAAGGAGCTAAAAAAGACTGAGACTTTAAGTCACTGTTTGAAAGGAAATTGTCCATAGCAAGCTGCCCGGCTCGTAAGTGAGAAATAGTTGTTTATGTATTAAGTGACTGAGATTTGGGGATTTGTTTGTTACTTCGATAAAGCCTAGATTAGCCTGACTTACAGAGATAACAAGCAAGAAATCAAATCAGAGACTTGGGGACTATGTTGTCATGAAATGGCTTCAATCACTGAATTCAATTAAAACAAGATCCCTATAAGAATTAAAGCCAGGTCTGAGGAGGAGCAAAGACAACTTGCCTGAGTGCAGAGGCTCTCAGCTCCCTACCTTACTCATCCACATTCTAGGACTGGTATGAACCAGGGATGTGCTGAGTAGCCTACAGAACTGTTAGTCCAGTGGAATTAGAACAGACTGGGAAATTGGCATTATACTAAATTTTAAACTAGGCTTTTCTGTGTTGCATGAGGGGCTAGAAATTCTAAAACATAGTCATTTTACCAGAATTATCTCACCAACCACTCTCTGGGCCAGACCCTGACCTAGGTAGGCCCTGGCAGGCAGGGGGTGGGAAGCTTTAAGAGTGGCTAAGATAGAGCCCCATATTGCATTGAGCATTCCAGACCCATCTGCAGCAGAAACAGCACTGTACTGGAAGCCAGCAAACCTGAGCTACAATCTCAGCTTGACCTTAACCTTTGCCTTAGCCAAGACCTCACACCCACCTGTTTCATTTCTTTAACTATATAGAATGGAATATTTGCACTTCCTATATCCAGAACATTTCTAGCTCAGATTTTCTCTGAAAGGACTATGTGAGAGCATAAGAAGAAATTGATAACTACTGGACAGAGGGCGTGTGTGCCAGGAGGAGTATGTAGAAAGATCTGAATAATCATGTCAAAAACTTCTGAAAACCCTGGCTCTACCTCTTTACTCAGATCTCCAATGCCCAGTAACACCAGTGGTTGTTTAAAAATGTTATACACTCAAAACATGTTCCCTCTGTTTCTCTCTGGGTAAGATATACTATGTTTCCCCAGTAAGCTGGCCAACTTAGAAAATAATCATTCCTGCCTCATACTCTGGGGAAGACACCTTGAGAAAGCGTGAGGTCTTCTCTTATTATATCAGATAATTGGCTTCAGATATCCGCTTGTCTGCACTGAATGAGAATGATGTTCCCAAGAGTTTCTGTAACTATCGACTACAAAGCTCATCTTCAGAGATGTTTAAAGGCAAAATGCATTGCCTCCATAAACTATTATGCTGGTATTGATTTTTTTTCTGTCTACATAAAAGTTCTCTATTTCCCTGTCACTTGCTGATCAACCTAGTCTTTTTTTATATACCCAATATCAGAGTAGTTCAAAGACCTCACACTGAATTTTGTTTATGTTTCTCAAAAGGAACATTCTGCCTTTTATTAAAGGAGATTGCCTATGAAAATATAGTAAGGGTGGCTCTTACAAATGATCCACTGCCAAAATCCAATTCACATTCTACCTGGTGCCTTATCTCTCCTTGAAATCATTGTACAGCACAGAATAAGAAAAAGAACATGGGTTTTATTGTCAGAAAAACCTAGTTTTTAATTCTCGGCTCAGAAATTCATTGGTTATGTGGAACTTCAGCATGATTCTTAAATTGTTCCAGCCTCAGGAAAAGCAGGATGCCAATATCTTGCAGAATTTTTATGAAAAATTATGTGCTTACAACAAATTAGGTGCTCAAAATTCTATCTATAATTATAGACTGTAAGAGCCCAAAGCATCTTGGAGAAGACCTCATCTGATTTCTCACCTTACAGAGGTAGAACTAGGACTCAGAAAGAAAAGGGACTTGTCCTGCTCACTGGATGGTTTTACAGTCCCTTCAAATTCCACTAACATGTTGCCATTGCCACCGCCACTTGTCTGCCCCAAATTCCATCAAAGACACCCTCATTAAGAATTCCAGTGGAGTCATTTTAATTGATATTTTGCTGAACTTCCTGCAGATTTTGTAGGCTTCATATTTCTAAAACCTCCATTTACTCTATGCTTTCAAGACCCTCTTTCCCCCAGCATGCCAGATCTTTCTGATGAGATCTTGTTGGTCTCCTTAATTTTGCTGTCAATAAACTGGGCTCGTTTTTCAAATTCTCCCTCCCTCCTCCCTGCTCCTATACTAATATTTGTGGAATCCATTCGGTTTGGGTCAATACTATACCACACTCTAGTTTATGTCTTGACTATCTTCTATCAGAATTATTTACCCATTTACCTTCAACAGTATCCCAGCCTCCAAATATACACCCTCATAACCATTGCCCACAGCAAGCAGAAAAAAAACGTTGTCAGAAAGAGAACTACTCAAAGTGTGGTCCTCAAACAAATGAACAGTTTTCTGAATAAGGAACTTACGCCAGAATATGAATCAACTACATCATTAAGCTTGCTGTTTAGTTCAGCTGACTTTAATTTTTTAACAGCTAGATTTATCCAATGAAAGAAGTTATTGATTTAAAAGAGCAGCACCTTCTTATAACATCACAGATCAGCACCTGAATAGGATCAATCTCCAAAATCTCAGGGACCCCACATGGTGTGCAAGATGCTCTGTGAGCTGACACCTCCTCTTCAGCTCCATCCATCACTATGACCAACCCCATCTTTTCTGCTCCAACAACACTGACCTGCTCTAATCCTCTCCTCCCTGCCCACAGCCATCCTCCCCAGCAAGTCCACACTTGCAAGAAACACGCAAGGATACATTTCCTCCAGAAAGTTTCCCTATCATCATCATCACCCCATCTTACTCCCTGCTGTACCTCCATTGGTTCTTACACATCTCATTCACTCTACCAACCATATGTGTGATAATCATGTACTCATGCCTCTTCAACCAAAACATTAACTCCTTGAAGAGATTATATGCACTCTGTTAGTCAGAATAGGTAAGAGAGCCACTTCAGTAACAAATAAACCCTGAAATCTCAGCAGATTAACAACATTAGAGATCATTTCCTGCTTACACAAAGTCCCATGCAGCAATCTCTGATCAGATAGTTACTCAAATGGATCTCCTACATGGGTAACACAGGACCAGAATCTTTGATCTAGTGATGGTGTTAAATTCTGCAACCTGGAACTCCATTTCTGTATTTACTGCTTTTATCTGACAATGATGAACAAAAGAGAGAAAGAAAGACCATGAAGATGTGTTAGCAGTGAGGGCTGGAAGTGGCTTGCATTACTCAAATCCATTAGCCAGACTCCAGTCACATGGTTTTACCTGACTGCAATCTGCTGGAGAAATAAAAGTTAGTCATGTGCCTTGGAGGAAAAGGAAATACCCACATGAACATCTACCAAGGGCCAAGCCACAACATCCCTGAATTTCTAGCACCTATCAGTGCCAGGCATGATGCTATGGGTCCTCGGTGAACACTTCTTTAGAGGGCGATGGCTGTCATTTTCAGGCAAGTCTTCACATCTAGAACAGAAGATGGGGACTGACTGAGTTAGGGAAAGAAGGTGCCTCCTTCATTCATCTTCGGCCAATGGGAGCAACTAGAGGCCACCACAGGCTCATAAGAAGAGAAGGGCAAAGGGATGGGGACATAGCTCAGTTGCTAGAGTGCTTGCATTGCATGCACAAGACCCTGGGTTCAATCCCCAACGCACCCCCCCCCAAAAAAAGAAGAGAAGGGCAAGTGAAATGCCATGGGAAAGCCATCAGGAAGCCCCCTGCTGGGTCCTCTTGACAGACAGGCTTGTTTGAGGTTTGGCAAGAGGCATCAATTCTACTTTGCCATTTCAGGCAACAAGTTCATTGCTTGATGAAGCATTTTCAAAACCCTTCCCTCATTTATCTTTCTATATCCATCTTTCATTTCCGGCACCTTAGATAAAAAAATAAATAAATAGTCTTGCGTTCCATTTCTAAAGACCCCCACACTCATTTCTTTTCTGTATGTCTCAGTTTCCTGAGAAAATCTTTAAAGTTTCCATTTAAACTCAAGTAGCTCTCTCATATTTTAATTTAAACCATTCCTGCAAAATCTCTTGATCTCAACTTTATATGGCACTCTTTAAACAAAACATAAATTCAGGGCTCAAACAGCTTAAAACAAGAGTCCCCTGTTAAAGGAACAGTGTTTAATAGTAAGAGTTATTAAATAATCAATCCAAATTTCAGAATGGTATTAATAGAAGATCGTATGAGATGTATCAAAAACACACCACACTCTTGGGAAACAAGCAACCCACTTTAAATATTGGCATATTTCCCGCTTTCAGAAGTGAGATTAAAGTGCTCCATTCAGTCTGGCCACTAGTCGGAGAGAATAATGACTTTAAACTATTTGTTACCTAATGAATGTAACATGTTGAAACATCCATTCCAATGGCACCCATTAGAGAGTCTGAAGAAGAGGATCCTCTGCTCTGTGGAATGCAGACGTCAATCCTCGGGAGCACAGAATCTTCCCTCTTAGAGGGACAAGGACGAGCCAACGCAGTAGCCCATTTGGACACCCCCGACCTCTACTTCTTTCCCTTACCATGTCCACACACTGGCGTCAGGTTCAGAAGATGGATCCTCAACTTCAACACTGCATCTCATTTGCCATTTGCCTTTTCAAGAGACGTTTATGAGAAAAAAAAAAAATCAGACCGAAGAAGCGTTTGCCTTCAAGCATTCAGCTGGCCCCATGCCACACTGGGAGCAGCTCTCTTGCTACACCTATGGTCTGTCCTGCTCTTTGTCAGCCAACATTTGAACAGTCATTTGTACACAAAAGTCATTAATGCATGGGCTTATTCATGACATATTTGAATATTGATAATGCACAGGGCACTGGCTAGCATCCCTGATGATTGTTACATACAAAGCAGGAAACCTACCTCAAGGAGCTTATAAGCAGATAAGGGGGAAAAAGCATAGACATTAATAATTAAATTTCAAAAATATTTACTGCATACCTGTTCATGCCAAATATTGTGCTTAGCCTGAGGATTAAAAGTACATGAGATTAGATAGACACAAATAATAACCATGTGTATAAAGTAAAAGCATGTGGGACATTGAATACGATAGTGATAATGGTAACAGTGGTAATAAATGATAACCAATTTAGGGGGGGAGCAGTACTAGGGATTGAACTCAGGGGCACTTGACCACTGAGCCACATCTCCAGCCCTATTTTGTATTTTATTTAGAGACAGGGTCTCACTGAGTTGCTTAGTGCCTCGATTTTTTGCTGAGGCTGGCTTTGAACTTGAGATCCTCCTGCCTCAGTCTCCCGCACTGCTGGGATTACAGGCATGCGCCATTGTACCCAGCTGTGATATTCAAATTTTTAAAAACACTGAGGCTGGACATGGTAGTTGCATGCCTATAATCCCAGTAGCTTGGGAGATGGAGGCAGGAGGATTGCAAATTCAAAGCCAGTCTCAACAACTTAGCAAGCCCTAAGCAATTTAGCAAGACTCTGTCTCAAAATATAAAATAAAATGGGCTAGAGATGTGGCTTGATGATTAAAGACCCCTGGGTGCAATCCCTGGTACAAAAAAAATAAAAAAACTTGTTGAGTTACTATGTGTTTACAGAAAACTTTCTAGTCGTTTTATCACCATAATTTTATAGGTGCTAGTATTCTTATCTCCATTATATGACTGAGGAAAGGGAAGCATAGATTAAGCAGCCTAACGTCCTCAGCACTATGTGGTGGATCTACACCAGAAATACACTTGGATCTTGGATACACTTGGATCTACCTCCAGAAATACATCATTCATGTTTGGAATGTGACTGGAAATGGAACCAGAGAAGCTCCCATGGAAGACATGACAGTTTGCTAATTGCTGAAGATGAGCATAGAAAGATGGAGAAAGAAGGCCAGGCTTTGCAGGGAAGGGAATGACAGCATGTGAAAGAACGTGCCACATTCAGGAACTGGTGAGTCAAGTGTGCCTGGAGCCCCACAGGGGACTTGCAAGGAAGATGGCAGAAGGTGAAGTGGGAGAAGTAGGTGGAGGTCAGGGTGTGTTCCGCCGTCCTCAGGAGGACAAACTGCAGGCGGCATGTGATAGGAAGTTATGCTCAATCTGGGGTCCAGGAAGGAGCCTCATGGAAAGTACTGACCCCCCCCCCAACCTCATGCCCTCCCTTTCTCATTCCTGTCCAGCTGCTAATAATATTTACTTGCTTTTAACCAACGTTCACCTCTCTGTAGCATGTGATTCAACTTTCATTCTTGACGAATTTTCTGGGAATTGCCACCATCTCAAATATCTGCCCCTTTGAAAGAAGCTGAGAATTTGTTGTTTTAATGAAAATCCATCCAGAATAATGAAAACAACTGCACTTGAGAAATCAATGTACTTTACAAATCACCTTTAAAAGTCAGGTCAACTTGAGGTCTAAATTATCTGATGGCGCCTCCTGAAAGAAATTGTATTTATTTGTTTTCATATTTTAGAAAGGAATCAGAGTTCATGGCTACAGGTCTTCAAAGAAGCATTCTGAAGTCCAGAAGGTGAATCTGCATGTGGAGCTGATTAGCAACCCTCAGGCTCCTTCTGTCACAGGTGCCTCGCTTTTCCGGGCCTGCTCTCCATCTCTAGAACCCAAGATGTGGAATCGCTGCACTGGTTGTGCTGAAAATAGAGAATCCAGTTCATTGTTGCCTTTATATCGAAACCAACAACAACAAAAATGTAGGCTACTGCCACTTGAATGGTCACCAGGCATTTCCATGTCAGTCAAATCAAGCTGTGACACAATTACTCTTTAATCTCTAACAAAAGAAGGAGCAGTAAGTGGTCACCATGTCTTCCTAGGGTGGACCAAGGGGCAAGAGGAGAGGGCAGCAGTGGAGTGCTGTGTGAAATCTGAGAAGAAGTGTCCCTGAAACCTAAAATGTCTAGGGACTTGTCCCTTTCTCCACTTCAATCAAAATTCTCCCAGTTGCAAAACACTCTGTGTTCATATGTTCATTTCTGCTGGTCCTTATTTCTTACACTGGATGATAAACACAAAAATATCAAACTTTCATTATAACAGACAGCAAATAAGTTATCTTCATTTATACTTTCATGCTAAAGACTAAAAATGTACCTTTATAAAACTTTCTGTTATACATAATTTTATTTACTACCTACAAGAGGTATCATAATCATTGCTATCTACAGATAAAGGAATTGAGGTCCTGAGAAACTAGGTGAAGGTCATCCAACTGGAATAGTGACAGAGCTTGGACATCAGCATAGATTTTCTGAAGCCACTTTGTTAGCTCTGTGGACTCAGAGAACTTTACAGATGTGGTTTCCTCTATGCCCTCATCAAATCTTGATTCACACACTAGAGAAACATATAGTAAGTACCATCCATGTGACATCAGTGACACAGGCTGCAGGGCACACTCTTGTCACAAGTGGTGCCACATAACTGATCAGGAAACTAGGCTCAGGCCTTTCATCCCCTGCTACCCTTTTAAGCACTCTTTTGACCTCTGTCTCAATGATACCAAGAACTTTTGCAAATATAAGGTGTTTTTCTATAAAAAAAACAGGAAAGAGGAACTTTATAGCCTTGTAAACCTCTGCAAGAAAATTCTGGGTAAAACAGAAAAAATGAGCAGGGCTCATCCTGGCTACTCTTCAAAAGGTGTACAGATAATTAATCCTACTAGCTCCAATAGACAGATGCAGCCCAGATGTACTAATGTCTATTCTTTTATTCAACACTTAGAAAAGCTTGGTTGGTTTTAATAGGAAACAAAGCAGGCTGCATTCAAAAGCTCACTTCAGGGCATGCCGAGTGGAGAACAGGCTGCTTTAAATATTTAGAGCTGAGCAGGGATACAAAACCCACAGCAAGAAGTTTGTCAAATGCATCATCGTTTGTCTGTGGCAAGGAGCAGCCAACTGAGAACAGGAAGTAATTTTCAATTAACCAGTCACACAATACATGCCTGAGCCCTCTTGGCAATAATCACTCAAAAAATAAATATGATTTGCCTTAATGGACAAGATGTCTTTAGAGCCTGTTTGGAACCAAAGTGACTGTATGCTGATGAACCGCATTCCCATGGTGAAAGTGCCCCTCTCCCTCCTGCACAGGCAGGTGGGGTAATCCAGGACCCCTGGAATCTGGGTACTGAAGGGCAATGGCTACAGGAACATACTGGCCAAAAGAGGTGCTGGGATAGAGAAGGGTGAGGGTGAGGAAAGGGTCAGACAGAGTTGGAAAGAGAGCAAACATATTGATTCTAAAGAAGCCCTGTTCCCCAGGTAACATTCAATAATGGATTAACAGAGGCAAAGAAGTTACACAGAGAGTCAGCTCCAAATACATCAAATGTCAGCACTGTGCTGCCTCTGAGCTCCTCCTAGCCTCAATTCCCAGAGCAGAGTAAAACCTTCCTCCCTGGTCTCCCTCTACCTGCTGATTTCATAGGTGTGTGTCCAATCAGGATCGTCTTTAGGAGGAAAAAGGACATATATTATGGCTCTTGCAATATGTATATATAATATACACTAGGTATGTATAGGTCGTGTCTGTAAACCCCTTGCAGTGGCATCATACCTAAATGAACAACTCCTGATGAGCATGGCTTGTCACACCTCTGCAAGTCTCCATGGTGCATCAGTCTGTGCCAAGGACAGCTTCCTGGGGAGAACTAATCAGTGGTTTCTTTCATCCTCTTCCTTTCAAACCTCATCTCTGATCTCTGCTCCAGGAAGAGAGTGTGGTGCTTTAAAAGAAGTCATACTGTTGGAGCCTAGTAACGATAATTAGGAGGGAGTTGGTTAATCTTTAAATGGCAACATGACAGAGGTAACTTCAAGTCTTTTCATTTCAGAACCTCAAACTTCAGTTCTGCATTTTGTCTGGTCATTTTAAACTTATTAAAAGTGCAATAGAGATAAATAAAGCAGGATGAGGGGACTCTGTCTCCTGCTGTGTCCTCCTGCCTTGATCCCACAACCCTGAGGTTGTCACATTCCATTCTCAGCCATCTGATGTATTTGATGCCACACTTTGAGCAACATGCTTTCGTGCTTTCTGATTATGTGTTGTGTTAGACATGATCTGTTTACTTACCACCATGGAGAAGGAAGTTTATCTTAAACCAGAATTAGACGTGTGCGCGCACACACACACACACACACACACACACTTCCGAGTCGTTTTATCACTTTTTCAGTTAAATTAACATTCACATTATTAGGATCTTGGGAAAGTTATTCACAGCCAAGACACAGAGTGCATGTTTCCTTTCTCAGATAAATTTACATATTTCCTGGAAAAAAAAATCATGACTTTGGATTTTTAAAATAAACCTATCATATAATTTTTCCCCAAATGCTCCAAGCAGGAGGTGATATTCCTCCCAATGCCACATGCAGCTGGTCATCTCAGCAGCCTTCTTCCACATAGGCTCCCTGTGCACTACACCTGCCTACTTCCTACAATGCCTATTTCCTCCCTCCTTCTGGGCTGGCTGCACTTCCTGCTGCTTGGACTGTGTCCTGGGAGCCCCTCCATCAGTCTTGTGGGAAGTTCCTTCCCCTTCTTCTCCCAGAATCCTGGTTCCTGGATCACACGTTCTTGTCTCCCTTAAGTTTTACCCTCTCATCTTTAAGAGGCGTAACTTTTAGTAACTTCCTAATAAAGAGAGCACAAGAAGTCCTTTTGTGTTTAAAATGATCTTTATTATGTCCTCACACTTAATTGATATATTAGCTGATTGTTAAATAACAGACTAGAAATCATGTTTCTCAAAAATTTGAAGTTACCACCACATAATCTTCTAGTTTCCCATTACTACTTTAAAAAGTAAGAGTTTTGATTCTTGTTCCTTTTTATGTGAACGCTTCTCTCCTTTATTGGGAACTTGTTGAATGCTTCCTTTTACTCCCAATGCTCCAAGACAATGCTTTCCCTTAATAGGCATCTTTATGCTCATCGGGCTGGGTATTATGTGGCTCTTGCAATACCAAAATATATTTTATTCTTCATTTAAAATCAATTTTCTTGAGCTTTTTCCTTTTATAATTTCTTCCTCTCTATTTTCTCTTCTATTCTTTTTGTGGAAAACCTATACTTTGGATGCCAGCGATCCTAGACTGGGGCTATAAGGATTTTCCTTTTTTCTTTCTTATTTTCCAAACTTTTGTTTTGTTTTGTCTTATTTTTTCTATGTCCCAGGACATTTCCTTAAGCTAGTTACCCAGCCTCAGGTATTTTATTATAACAACAACAACAACAAAATTTTCCAATAAATTATTAAGAATTTGCCTACCAAGCATACGGGATGAAAAAGGCAATATCACAACAGACACTTCAGAAATACAGAAGATAATCAAAAACTATTTTGAATCCTTATACTCCAATAAATTAGAAGATAGTGAAGGCATAGATAAATTTCTTAAGTCATATGATCTGCCCAGATTGAGTCAGGAGGATGTAGAAAACCTAAACAGACCAATATCAATTGAGGAAATAGAAGAAACCATAAAAAGACTACCAACTAAGAAAAGCCCGGGACCGGATGGGTATACAGCAGAATTTTACAAAACCTTTAAAGAAGAACTAATACCAATACTTTTCAAGCTACTTCAGGAAATAGAAAAGGAGGGAGAACTTCCAAATTCATTCTATGAGGCCAACATCACCCTGATACCTAAACCAGACAAAGACACTTCAAAGAAAGAAAACTACAGACCAATATCTCTAATGAACCTAGATGCAAAAATCCTCAATAAAATTCTGGTGAATCGGATACAAAAACATATCAAAAAAATTGTACACCATGATCAAGTAGGATTCATCCCTGGGATGCAAGGCTGGTTCAATATACGGAAATCAATAAATGTTATTCACCACATCAATAGACTTAAAAATAAGAACCATATGATCATCTTGATAGATGCGGAAAAAGCATTCGACAAAGTACAGCATCCCTTTATGTTCAAAACTCTAGAAAAACTAGGGATAACAGGAACATACCTCAATATTGTAAAAGCAATCTATGCTAAGCCTCAGGCTAGCATCATTCTGAATGGAGAAAAACTGAAGGCATTCCCTCTAAAATCTGGAACAAGACAGGGATGCCCTCTC